TAGGGGATGTAGATCCCAGGGAATGTGGAAGTTGGAAGAGGGTATTGAGGTTGACAAGAGAAATGCTGAGGGTCCTTAAGATGAATTCTGACAGGGACACAGTGAACCAGAGAAGGGGTGGAAATGTCCCAAACTCGAGGGTTTACCTCTGGAGGGAGAGAAGGAGGGGAGCCTATGGACATGTGGGTTGATTCTGCAAGAGTGAGGATAAGAGAAAGGCTGGGATGGAGTGTGATGGAGGCATGGAATTTGGCTGACATGTCCCTTTCCAATAGGGGAATGGGGCATTGGGGCAATACCAAAAACTGGTGGGAGAAAGGATAGTGGTGAAACCTACAAGAGAGCGTGAGGGTTTTAAGGCAAAGGATCGTTTGTTTCCCAACCCCGACAATGGGGGAACAGGGTGGAACAGTGGTCCCCAAAACTCCCTCAAGACTGAGTAAGTGTCCCCTGTGTCTAAAAGGAAGTTAATTGGGTGTCCATCCACCATAATAGTGACCCTGGGCTCCTGAAAGTTGATGGTGGTCATCAGGGAGGGAGTCCCAAGGCCCCTTCAGTTGTCCGTTGCCAGCCCCAAAAGATCCAGGTCTGGGCTTGGGGTGGATCCAGCTCCCCTTCGGGGGCCGGGGCAGTCCATGGCCCAGTGACTCCTTAATTGGCATTTAGGGCATGGATGTGTAGGTGGCCTGGGATTCGGGCACTCTTGTGCCCAGTGTTCCTCTGTCCCACACTTAAAACAGGGCCCAGGGGCCATCTTGGGTGGTGGACATTTGGCCAGAAATGAAGGGGCCTGTGGGGTCGGTCCCCGTAAAGCCTGTGCCAGCATCTGGGTTTTTTGCTCTCTGGCCTTCTCATCCCGGTTATGGTACCCCTTAAAGGCTGTGGCCAGGACTTCACTCTGAGGGGTCAAGGGTCCCCGTTCCAGTTTTTTAAGTTTCACCTGAATGTCAGGGTACCTCTGGGAGACACTTCGTATCCAAACTATAACACCTTTAAAGGACTGGAAGAGAAAAATTAAAATGTTTTTCTAAAATGAGACATTTAAAATAAGTTTTAAATGTAAATGGCCTAAGCATTCCAATTAAAGGCATAGATTTTCAGATTGAACAGAAAAGCAAGATGTGACTATACACTATGTCTGAGAAAACCACTTTAAATATTGACATATAAGAAGACAAATAATAAAACTGTGTTCCATGCAAATGATAATCAAGAGAATGCTAAAATGTCTGTTTTAAAATGTTTACTTAGGAATAAAGACTATTACAAGAGTCAAAGGGTGACGTTACCTAATAAAAGGGGGCAATTTGTCAATAAGACATTATAATCCTAAAAATGTGTGTAGTTGATCTAAGCCTCTAACTCAAGAAAGTAGAAAAAGAAGAATAAATTAAAACCAAAGCAAGCAGAAGGAAGGAAATATTAAAAGATTAAGACCAGAAATCAGCAAAATTAGTCTTTCAAAAGACCAATAAAACTCATAAATCTCTAACAAGACTGAATAAGAATAAAAGAAAGAAAACACATATTACTAAGGCCCAAAAGTGATGAGACACTTATATAGATTGTACAGAGATCAAAAGGTTGTAGGGGAAAATTAGGAACAGTGTTATGCCAATAAATCTGATCACTTATAGAAAAATAAGCAAATTCCCTGAACGATTCAAACTACCAAAGCTCACCCAAGCAGGAATAGGTAGCCCTAAATATCCCTCTATTCATTATAAAAATTGAATTTGTAGCTAAAAACCTCCCCATAATGATAACTATAGGTCTTCTTGGCTCCATTGATGAATTCCACTAGTGTTTAAGGAAGAAGTGATACCAATACCACACAGATTTCCAGAACATAAGAAGAAAACACTTCCTAACTCATTTTATGAAACCAGTATCTCTGAATATAGATGCAAAAACTTTCTTTTTTGTGTATTTATTTTTTCTGGTTATATACAAAGTATATTCACACCATTCATGTCTTCATACATGTACTTAGGGTAATGGTGTCCATCTCATTCCACTGTCTTTCAGCAAAACACAAGTAAATTGAATCATGTGATGTACACAAATGGTGTCAACTATAACATTTAGACCTTCAACATTACAGTGGTGGGAAAGCAATACATGCTCATTAGAAACTGTACTTTGAATATTGAATTTTGATCTTTTCCTAAACTAATAATAAGCATCCTGATACTTTCCCCCCATGCAGGGCAGCTGTGGTGAGTGGTGTTCTGATCTAGACGTACACCTCTGCACAGCGTACTGTTTCTGACACAAGCATTCAATGAATTGCATGAGTCATTCAACATTTTATCATAAAATAGGCTTGTGTTACATGAGTTTGCCCAGCTGTTGGTTCTTCTGTGCTCTGAGCATCTTTACAGTCGACTAGGCTGTGTCATGATGTTCAACAGGTCAGTTGTATAAAATGCATTTCCAACCTATGATGTTTTCAACTGAGTGTGTGTTTATTGGAATTAAATATAGGAGCATCTGTAAAAAGATTATATATCATAACCCAGAGAGATTTAGGAAGGAAAGGTGGTTTAACATCCAATAATTAATGTGATTCAGCATATCAATATGTAAAGAAAGAAATCACATGATCAACTTGACAGATCCAGAGAAAGCATTTGATAAAATCTAAAACCCTTTCATGATTTAAAAACAAAAATACCCAACAAACTAGAAATAGGAGGGAACTTACTCAACCTGATATGGGGCATTTATTAAAAAAAAAAAGCCCACATCTAATAATGTATGTATTTAATGGTGAAAGACTGGTTGCTTTCCATGTACAGGATAGGATTTCTTGCTAGTCACTTCTGCTAAATATTGAAATAGGCATTCTAAACAGTGCTGTTAGGCAAGAAAAAGTAATAAAGGGCATCCTGACTGGAAAGGAAGATGACATGATTTTGTATATAGAAAATCCGAAGACACCCCCCCTCCCCGCCACACACACACTAAAAGCTACTAGAACTAATCAGCAAGTTTAGCAAGGTTAGGATTCAGCATCAAATATCAAAATCACGTGTTTCTGTGCACTAGCAATGAATAATCCAAAAAGAAAATTAAGAAAACAATTCCACTTTTAATGGCATCAAAATGATAAAATTCATGGGAATAAATTTAACATATTAAAATGTACACTAAAAAGTAAAAGACATTGTTTAAAGAAATTAAGGAAGACCTAGGTAAATGTGCATGCATTGAAATATCTTATTTATTAAAATAGTTGCACTGTCCAAATTGATCTACAAATTCAACCCAATCCCTCTGAAAATGTGAGTTGCCCTTTTGCAAAAACTGACAAGCTCGTTCAAAAATTTGAATGACTCCTACTTCCTGGCCTTTAAATACCCCAGTTATCAAGACAGTGCACAGGACTTGGGGAGGCTTAGTGGGTAGAGTGCTTGCTGGGCACAAGCAAGATCCTGATTTAGTCTCAAAACTGCAAAAAACAAAAAAATACCCCCCCAATTAGTATTCTTTGAAAAGAAAACAACACCCCCACATATTTATGGCATGCATATTTTTATGGCAATATAAAAATAGTAATATAACCAATATGGGAGGCTGAATATAAAACTGGTAATGTGATAAAAATGTAGGACTACAGGAAAAGGCAAAGTAGAAAATATGAATGTATTAATTTCTCCATCAGTATCATGTGCTGATAGACACTGTATAAAGGTGAAACATGTAGGTAAAAATAGTGTTCTACTCTGTGTGTGTGTACATATACATACACATAATAAACAGAATATATATTTTTAACTGTAGAGAGACTTTTAATTAACTACAGGAATAAAAACATTTTTCTGAAGTTGAATGATTATGGTTACACTTCAGTTTCTTCTCTCAAATTTAACTAAATTAAATGTAATGTTAAATTTAGAGCTGGTGTATATATAACATGATCTCTTTTTTTACAAAATTATTTTCATTTTGAAAGTTTCAGTGTTGGATTTCCAAGTGATATAGTCAGCTACTATCTGAGTTTGAAATGCAGAGAGATCTGGACTAGAGGTTAAATTTGGGACTTGGCAGCATACTGCTGATTTTTGAAGCTCTTAGGCATGGTAGAGGTCACTTCAAGAGGTTCTTAAGAGAGAAAGGAAAAGATGATGCCCTGCGCATCTCCAACACTGTGCGCATGTATGGAGGAGAACCCTGCAGTGGAGTGGAGGTGTGAGTCCTAGAGGGGAGGAACACGGGTGAGCAGTGCTGAGTCAAGCACCAAGGCCAAAGGAGCAGGGCCTTTGATAAGATGTTGCAATGTGGTGTGGTTGCAAGGGTAGACCACCTGGATTTACTCCTCAGTGCCGCATCCACTGTTGCCTTCTACTTTTCTTTCCCCAAAGCTTGCAGGTTAGAGAACCAGCAAATTGCTTCAGCTCCATTTGGAGAATAATTTTAAGACCTCTTTCATATTTGGGGTCTGGCTAACAACTGGATCTTTTAAAGTCCTGCTGACTCCCAGCAAATGCAGGCAGTATGTTTGCAGAACCCTTATGTGGTTTTTATATGGCCACAAGTAGGTTTTTCTTTGAGAAATGCTTTATTAGACTGTTCGTTGGAGCTCCTTGGGCTCATGGCGTGCTGGAGCTGTGTGGTGACCTTAGCTGTTGGTGGACGATGACTTTGTGCCCTTTGCTGGGACCTGCGTCCGTGTTACTCAGCTTACCTGTTAGCATGCTGGCATTCAGCAGTGTTCCACCTCTAATGCTTCTCCCAGCACTGTCCACTCAGCAGTGCCCCTCCTGCCTCAGCTCTCAGTGCCAGGAGGGCCGTGAGGGCCACTGGGTTGCCAGTTGCTCCCTATCCCGTGGAAGCCATCCTCTGCTCTCCTGATGCTTGCACTTTTGCACCGCACCCCTATGCTGATCCCAGGGAAGGAGGTTGGGTTTGTAAGCCGAGCCGTGCACTGGACCGGGGTGTGTAGGACGCAGGTGTGGATGTGCATCTGATTAGTTTCCCATTTTCTCCCCTTCTAGGTAATACTTACTAATATCCAAAACAGAAGTCCTAAGCCCGGCCCTGCTCCCCACGATCAAGAACTAGGTTTTTTCCTAGAAACAGGACTTCAGAGAGCCCATGTCCTCTATTTCAAAAATGGGTAAGCGTTCTTCATTTTTTCAATCCATATCCTAAATAAGGATAATAGACTTTTACTGCTGTCTTCAGTTTAGTTACTATAATGAAGTAATTTTAAATATGAACTACAATTGGAATATTTTTTTTTAAAAAGAACGAGCTCTGGCTCTTCTTGTTGTCTCCTCTCCACCTGGCCCTCTTGCTTTCCCATGAAATTTGAAGGAGGGGTAAGAGAAGAAGGAGGGCATTTATTGACTGAGCCACAGGTTGGGAAACCAAACCCAGGCGGATGGGTCTCATGGGGCCAAGTTTTGGTGCCCTTCCTCCCTGCAAGAGGCACTGCACAGGCCTCCCCATGTTGTCAAGGAAAAACTTAACAAACTGGAAACTCAGGCACACAAAAGCATCCCCTTTCAATGACTGATGAGCTCAGAGGATTGTATTTGCCACATCCTAGGCAGGGTTTGTGCAGGTGGGTGTGTCTGTAAGAACGCGCGTTCTCCATTCTACTTGAGCTGCTTTTGGAATGGGTTGAGGAGCACATGTGGGAGGGGGCTCTCTAATGCATTCATGTCTGTTTTCCTGGTGTGTTGCTGTTGTGAGAAACGTGCTGATTCTGTTCCACATCTCTTCAGTTGTCCCTTGTTTTGACATTGTGCTGCAGGATAGATGTGCATGGAGACCAACAGTAGGTATCTGTTCCTCTGCAGCTCCTCCAGCTTTGCATGGGAGGCCCCTGGGAGCTGGACCCCTTCCTCTAGGAGCAGTAGTCCAGTAGTGCTTTAATTGGCAGAGGGGACACAAGTCCCAGCTTCTGGAAAAATGAACAGCAGAGCTGCTGTCTCTTCATTTTTAGAGCTTCAAACCTTGGGGTGTAGCTCACAGCAGTTGGATTCCATCTGCCTGGCAGCCAGCGCTGCGACCATCCATTTGCATCTGTTGAGAATAAATGCCTGTTTTCCAAATCCTATTTAACTGTCTGGGAGGAAAGGCCTGCTTTGCTCCAAAGGCCACGGGTTCAGCTCAGCAAAGACCACAAAAAGTCAGGATCAACACCCCGAGGTTTGCAGTGGCTTGATGGCTTTGGCACAAATATGCTTTCAAGTTTGATCTCATCTGCTGTTGCCTGAGATCTCTGAGTAATGGCGCATGCCCTCTAGACTAAGATGCTGTTGTCTGTTGTAAAGAGAGGGGGAAGGGAGGGAACATGGAATATCATTCTAATGATCTGTTTCTTCTCCCATTTTACAAAAAATGGTGGTTGTCACAGAGGAACCCCCAACCCTTGCTCACCTCTAACCTGTGTGGATGTATTGATATGGAAACCCACAGGAATCAGTCCCCTGTGGGCTCCCAGGGGGGCTGAACCAATACCTTCTACTGAATCTGTGAGATTGATCAGTTTGGTCCAGATAAGTTATTTTTCATCTTTGAAGCCTATTCCTTGGAAAGGAAGAAGCAGGACTGTTGGGCTCTGACCTCAGTCCCTGAAAGGTTGGCTTCCCCACAGAAATCCAACTACAATATAATCATGAGAGGTTTACACTAGAGGACAGGTTACATGCTGGGGATTGCTTCCTGACTGATTTCTTATTTAACTTTGCTCAAGTTCATTGATGCAGCTGTCAGGGTCTGTTGCCCTTGTAAGTCTTTTCTTATCCTCTTGCTCTTATCACTGTGTTCCAAGAACCAAGTACTCTAAAAGGTCCCTGCCAGCTGCAGGGTTCTAGAGGCTGGGGTTGGTGGCAGTAGTGGGAGATTACTCTTGGTAGGTGGAGGTGGGGGCCAGTGTTGAGACCATGAAATGTGAACAGAAGAGACCAGTGGGAGGGTTTGGACATGCCAAGGGGCCATCAGATGCCTCTTACCAGTGGGTTATTCAGGGTGCAAGAGCCACATGGTCATTGGTCAGTGGATGCCACAGGAGAACGGAGGGAGCTGCTGTCTCTCAGCCCCAGGGCTTCCCACAGTTCCATCTTCTGATGTATTTGCTCCTTGTATCTCACTCCATTTTTGTTTTTCTGGACTTTTCCTCTATGTGTCTGGAAGGATGGTGGACAGGATGGACTGTCAGTGTAGGAAAATACAGGATACAAGAGTTTGGCGGTAAGAGGTGGAAATAGGAAAACTACATCTTACTTCTTTAGTGATATAATTAAATATATGCTCAGCTTTGGGGTTACCGTTCCCAAGGACTCACTGGGTTATGGAATGAATCTTACTCTCCCATCTTTTCCAGGAGTTACCACCAAACTGGTGACCTTGAGTATCCTCCTGAAAACCCCATGCCAGGAAGTTCCTGGCCCTCCAGCGCCTTTGCTCTTAGGGGCACTGTTAGGTCTGCAGGTGACTTCTCTCCGTCCTCACTGCTGCTCCAGTTCTCTCTTCCCTCTCCACTGCCACCTTGCATCTCCACGATTTCACAGGAGTCCAAATCTGGCATGTGATTTGCTGCAAGGCACACAGTACCCTGGGTTCCAGGTTTCTGACCTCAGTCCTTTTACCACTGAGCCTTGAGGGGGGCTGGTGAGGAGCACTTGACCCCCAGGTCTGGAAAAACTGCCTTTGCTGGGGCAGTTTCTGCTTAGTCTTTTCCGGTAGCACACAGAAGTTTCTTTGTTATTCTCTTCTTCCCCTGTTCCCCCATTGTGCCCCCACTTCCTCCTTCTCCCTCTCTTCCTTCCTTTCCCTCCCTCTCCTCCTCCATGGCTGCCATCTGGGCCTGTACCATGCTCCGTCTCTGGCCCCAAGAGACACTGGTATGGTCCAATTGGAATACACCCACCTCTATTTCACATCTGTTTCTCTTATCCCTCTGGGTGGCAGCAAAATCCTCTTAAGGGTGAAAAGAATCTTGTCAAGTCTCTACAGAGGGTAGAACCAGGGAGCTCTGGCCCCAGGCCAGGACTCTTGCCTCTGGATTCTCAGAATTTCCTCACCCCAGCACACTTTTGTATGAGGGGCAACAAGGGGCTCAGGCTAGACCTGGACTTGGAACAGCCTGTTTACTTGTGGGACCTCAGTTTCTTTATCTGTGAATTGGGGCTAATGCCACCTACTGCAGGAGCTGTGGGAAGGAACAAGAAAGTAAAGGCTCGCGGGCCATGTGGTGAAGCAGGGGCAGATGACAGTCAGCAAACTGTGACTTCCAGTACTGATGGTGCCCTGCCAGTTTCCTGGCTGAAAGTGGGACCAGAGTAACGCCAAAGTCCAGCTGAAGTAGAAGGTCACAGGAGTAGCCATTGTGCACTTGATTGCTGGGCCTCATGCTGCCAGGGCTTGGAGGCAGGGCGTTATCCACAGTGACTGCTGGTGTCAGCTTGGTTAACGCCTGGTTGCTGATGGCCTAATGGTCCAACTGTGGCAGGACGGGGTCTTCAGTGGTAGCTCACCAGTGGCTGGGAGTTGGCCTCATTCCCATTCTCTTCAGCCTTCCAGGGAGAAGAAAAGTGTGACTCCCCACTTGACTTGCTGGGGAGGCTTGGATTTGGGGTGCCACTCATTTGCTGCATTTATCTTAGGACTAGCTAACCATCCTTTGTAAACAAAGGGTAGTGAAGGACATCTCAAGTAATGTGGCTTATGTTCTGGGTGAGCAGAACAGTGCATGTCCCCGGCTCTGGATGGGTTTTGATCAGGGCTGGTAGGGATAAACTGAAGCCAGGAGGAGATGTGGCCATTGGTTGCTAGGGTGCAGCACTGAGTTTTGACTCAGAGAAAGTAGCAAGTCAGGCAGGAGCTATTGCAGGTTCCCCGAGGGGCTTATGGCCAGCCCAGGGGACAGAGTGTGTGGAAAGGCTTTGGATTCTGTTCTTAAGGTCAAACACAGACCACAAATCACCTCTATGCATTGGCTGCCAAAAGTTTTTAACCTTCCCAAATAATCTTACTAAACTTTGTCACCATTTACCCTGCTCAGTGTAGCCTACCCTTGGCAGAAAAATGGGCCACGAGGCCCTGCTGTGTCCCACAGGCTGCTGAGGAGGGGTGCCTCTGGGGTTTATCACCTCAGGGACTGCAGTGGCCGCAGACAGGCTCCAGAGTCTGTGTGATTGTGGGAGACATCATGGGGAGGTGTGGCCAGGAAGCGCAGCTCAGGGCTCCATGCATTGGTGTCTTAGGCACTCATGCTTTACAATCTGGCTTCAGGCCATCTCCCTCTTGCAGCAGGAAGAAGTACCTACTTCTTAAGCCTCACATGACTTTTGACATTCTGAGTCCATTGCAGAGAAGGTGAGCAGTTAATACACAGCAGTTGTTGAACATGACAGTCTTCAGGAGAGACAGAGATGAGAAAGAAATGGGCTTTGCCCTGCGGGAGGTGGTAGGAGAAGAAAAGGGGTGAGACATGAGCATTAGTAACTTTAAAGGTCGTATCATGGTTCTTTAAAATATTCAGCAATGAAAGAGCACCAAGGACTCTAAATGAGCTGAGGTTCCAGCCACGCCCCCTTACCGTCCAGGCGTTTGGCGCGGCCTCTTGCTCTTCCATTCAGTGAAGGTTAATTGTGTGCCACTTCGGGCCAGGCCCTATTTTAGGTAGTCAGGATAGAGTGGTGAGGAAGAAAGACTGAGTCCCTGCCCTGGAGTTCACGGAATAAAGAATCATGGAGAATTAAGAATTAAAACAAGCAGTTTCATGTTGTGACAAGGTAAGTCCAGGTGGTCCCAGGAGCAAACAGGAAGGCTGCTGTGCTGGAATGGCCACATGATTTGGAAAAGGGAGTAAGGATTTGGAGAAATGGGCTTGAAATTGTGTAGATGCAGATAGACTCGGGAGGCTGTTGGGGGTTGGCATTCTAAGTGACTGGGAGGAAGATGGAGTCCGAACTGTACTTGGCCTTTGTGTATGTATCCTGGAGGGAATTCATACAGAAATCTGGGGAGTTTCATGCGAACCTCTCAGCACAGGACTGCTATGTGCGAAGTGCTGTGCTCCGTTCCAGCACCTGTTGGTGAATATGAGAGTCTAGGCGCAGGGCGGGTGCTTGTCTAGGGAGGCCAGGTAAAAGCAGGTAAACC